GAACTAAATACGATTACCGGAATCGTATATTGCCTTTCCTCTCTTGGATCGGTTCTTATCCCGTGGGTTTGGCAATGCCGAAAGGGAAGTAAAAAAGTCAGACTCGTACTCGATACGTTTTTAGATCGCATGACTCAACGGCATAGATTTAGAATCGGGTTTGTTTCTTGTTTGGTTGCGCCACAGGACTTTCTTCATCGCGACCGGCTGTTGATATTGCATAGTTGTACTGACAATGTTCGGTCGACAGATGAATAATAAGTTGTCAGGACAGTGTTGATGTGTTGATGTCATTAGATCCATTTCATGAAGAATAATTTAAGCTTTCTATTGTCATATTCAAAGATCACGCTGACATTTTTTTCTAGATACCTATCTATCATCCAAAAAATTGTTAGCTCTTCAACCACTTGCAGTTAATACTAACTTCAAGGTGAATATTGCAGTCAACCTGATTGTCAGATAAATCGGTACTGCTAGATAAATCGGTACTGCTAGATAAATCCTGCAATTTGACTATTTGCCAGATGAATATTGCAATGGGAGCTGATATTATTTATTGTCCACCAGATCGCACTACTGAAACGTGATGTCAGGGTTGGTAGAACTGATAAATATACTCCCTTCTTTTCAAGTCATTTAGCCTCTGCCTACGATATTTTCTTCTTCGTCAATATAAGGATTGGTCGGCTTGAGTCTTTTCATCTATAGAAGATCCATTCGTCTGGTGGGTGATGCCACAATCACTAGTACTTTGACTTCATTAGAACACCGTAGAAAAGTCGGCGACCTTTTACTTTTCCATGGATACTTCCACTGAAAATGTTACTCAGAAATCTCTGCTATCATTCCATCACTAGAAATACCAGTGAGACGGAACATCCTTTCATTGTCAACCTCGAACAACATTCTACCAAAACTCGTTCGTATATAAAACGGCAAAGATTTGAAACTATTTGCCAATGTAGGTATTTCCAAGAACTCATAACCTCCAAAAGATAAAAAAAAAATCCAATACCTACCTCATCTTCCTATCCTCCCTAGGTACGCACGATTTTTTTCGAATATCATAGGAATTTCCTTTTGTACGCTCCAAGAGATAAAAAAATAACTTGAGGTTTTCAATTTGTTCAAAAAACTGTTAGATTCTGTCCAAAAAAGGGCAATTCGTCTCGTGGGTGATGCCTCGCTCACAAACTCACTCACTTTTCTGGAACACCGTAGAAAAGTTGGCGATCTAGCTCTATTTTATAGATATTTTCATGGACGATGCTCTTCTAAAATATCAACGATTGTTCCTCCCTTGGCAGTCCCCGTCGTGTTGAGGCCTCGCACCCCTTCGTGGTCACTTTGAAGACCTGCAGAACATCTCTTTCCAAGGACTCGTTCATCCAACGAACAGCGAGGCTCTGGAACACATTGTGAAGGGAGGTGTTCTCCGAGGCATATAGACTCCAGAAATTTATCCACAAATAGTTAGGTAGGTATTTAATACTTTCTTGTCGTAGAATTACCTCTTTTGCAATATCTAGCATTAACAGAGTGAACAACATTTCCTTGAAATAGTGCCAAATTTTTTTATTAAAAACCTTAGCCACTCCACCAAAAAAAGCTAGTGAATATCTGCCACTATAAAAAGCGGAAGAAAACATGACATTGCCAAGGGAGGTGTTCCCCAAAGCATATGACCTCCAGAAATTCAAGAAGAACACCAATTCCTACCTCATTTCCCTTGGTTCTCACGATGTTCTCTGAACATTACAGTATATCCCTTTCGTGGGAACCAGAACATGAAAAAAATATATATATTCCACATAATAGTTTCCAAATGTTTTCGATAAAACAGGCCACAGCCCTAATATCCCGCAAGCTTTTTCGAATTTTCGACATTGACCTCACGTTTGAGTAACGCCCCCCACTGGTGAGACTGAAAATTGAGATGTTTATAAATAATTCCTCTGGTGTGCCCACTCTTCAATTGTTTCGTCAGAGACTAGCTCTCGATATGAACAATTGAATGCGAGTTCGGAACGTGGGGGTTCTCATATTCGATGATAGATGGCGTGAACAATAGACAATTTCTTGAAAAACTTCAAAATGCGTTTCGAATCTTATTATGAAGTTGAACTAGACTCTCAAGGATGTGTGTTCCTTCTTCTGGGACCTGAAGAGTCCCGTTGATGATGCACGAACTCAATAATAGCTGATGAGACGCATCTAGAGACAGGACGCGAAAGAGACAGGATGGAACAAATAATCCATGCGGAAAAATCTTGATCTTGACTGAATCTTGACATATCTGTCACCAGTTTCATGTTTTCGGCATATTCGAGATTTTGTTCAAATTGCGAATCGAAATATCATAAGTTGAGAGCATTACTAGTTCATTAGGCATTATATTATTAGTTGAATGACTGCTGAGGATTATTTGAAAAGAACATTCGTTTTAATTTTATGTACCAAAAGTGAGTAAATGAACTATTATCACAGGGTTTTCTTGAGTTAGAACTTCGTGTCGTTCATGAATTCACCATCGAAAGTCGAAAGTGAGTAAATGAACTATTATCACAGGGTTTTCTTGAGTTAGAACTTCGTGTCGTTCATGAATTCACCATCGAAAGTCGAAAATATGACGCACCGTTTCCAATTAAACAAAAAATTGTGAAAATAAAACTGTGAACTCTAATGAATGTGTAATGATGCCTGTAAATTTGGTTTGATATTTAGCGAGATTCTCCCACGCCTCGCTATTTTTACAAAGTAGGCGATATCGAGAGATTTCGAAACTTCTTTCGATAGGAAACACCATTTGACTTTCTATACATCTATCTGAAAATGTTAGCCCCATTAGACTAATTGCCAGATGAATATGTTAATTAGAATAATTACCAGATAAATCTGTGAATTTTAATAACGATAACAGCCAGATGAATATGTCAATTAGGATATAATTACTACATAAATCTTGCGATTAGACTAATTGCCAGATGAATATCGACATTAGAGTGAATGCCAGAAAAATCTTGCAATAACAACCTAATTGTAAATGTTGCAATTAGACTAATTGCCAGATAATTATTGACAGATGAATATCAGATAAATCTTGCAATTACAACCTTATTGTGAGTGTTGCAATTAGAATAACTGCCAGATAAAGTAGGTCCTAATTGCTAGACAAATCTTGCAATTAAACTAATAGCTAGAATCATATTGCTATTAGAGTGATTGCCATGCCCAAATAATTGTAAGATGAATGTTGCAATTATACTAATTGCTAAATGAATGTATGAATTAGAATAATTGCCAGATGAATCTGAGAATAAGAATAATTATTGCCAGATGAATCTGTCAATTAGGCCCCGATTGGCTAGATGGATGTTGCAATGAGCCTAATTGACAAAAAAAATGCATTAATAATTTTTCGAAAAAAAAAAAAATAATTGAATCGCGTTATGTCCATTCTGCGCCTTCTTAGTGAAGTACCTTGTGTGGCTTGTTCGGAATTTGAACTCGCTCGCTCATTCGCCAAACTTATAAACGAAATACCTATACGTGGAATAATATATACCTAGTAGGCCCGTCATAACGTACTCAAAAATTAGCTGTTTCAATAATTGTAGTGTAGTCAACTTGCTTTTTTGATATATTATTTGGATCCCTCTAGATAGTATTTGTCCAGATTTGCAGCACTCTATATATAATGTACCCGGAAAACCGCTATTTTTTTTCACTGATTTTTGTTTTATGCGCAAAAAAAGACACATGCGGAGGCACTGACCAGAAATGTCACAAAAACTTTCTCAAAATATACAAAACTCCCGACATTTTGATACAGGGTTCACAAAATTTGCTATTTTCTCCAAAATATTGAAAAACAGAAAACGGCCAATTTTCGCACAAAATATCAGGTATCATGTGGTATTCAAGCGGAATTTTATGTGAAATGAAGTTGTGCGTTGTACTTTGCCTTCATGCATTCAATGGGTGTGATACTGATACCACCTCTGCCCTATTTGAATCGCCATTTGCGCAAGGACAACTGAAATTCAATTCAATAATGTCCTCAAACAAAACCCGGACCTTGTTCAACAGTTGGAATTTTTCCTGCAGCCTAAATTTTTTCTAGAGGAGATCGAGAGTGCAGACGAGACATTTTTAATTGCTCTGTATGGCGGATATGACTAAGAAGCTCTCAATGATCTAAGCTCTAAGCACTGAACTCTGAACTATAAGCTCTAAACTCTTAGCCATAAGTTCTGAGCTGTCCGCTCTAAGCTCTGAGCTCTAAGCTCACCAATACACGAAGCCCAAGTCACTAGATGATTAAGAGAGAAAGGAGCTATGATCTGTCCGTACCCTGTTAGATGACAAATACGTCAGTTTGTATCAAGGGACCCTAGGAAAGAATAGCAAATTTTGCAAACCCTGTATCTTGGAAACTATCAAGAATTTTGCATACTTGAAAAGGAGTAATAGTGACCTTTCTCGTCAGAGCTGTCGCATGTGAATTTTTTTGCATAAAACTAAAAGAAGTGAATAAATTCAGTAGTTTACCGGCAATAACTCGATCGCGTACATTTTTGAGTGCTGCAAATTTGGACAAATATTGTTCAAGAGGACCTAAACAATATATAAAAAATGCAAGTTTTTTGCAATTATTACAATCCCGATTGTAACCTATGTCTGGTCCCCTTATTATTTTATATTTTGACTATGAAAATAGTTCTGTCGGCAATTATTCAAACGTATATACTATCGCCTACACGTATGAGTATGAAATGAGAAAACAATTCGATAACATCCACACCTACAGAATTCAACACAAAATGATCAACAACCAGGCGGTCTTTATGAAATAACTCCCTTTCATTTACGATGCAGTTCACCCTTTGTCGCCCCCCTTGCCCCCTTCGAAAAACGTTCTATTTTCGTCTGGACGATCTCTATTTTCGCACATCAGGCTTACGTACGGTTAAAAGCACGACGGAAATATGAATCTACTCGGCATAACCATTCACATCACATACATGCACAAGACGCAAGCTCCGCCAAAGTTAAAACTGAACCCGCCTTCGGGATGAATAATAATTCTAAATATCAGAGGCAGTGCGCGAAAACAGACCCCCATTATCGTGTGTGGAGAATTATTAATTTTTCGAAAGCCTCACTATCTGTTTACTAGGAAACATCATTCCTCAATTGTCTATTTTTGTGATGTTTGTGTAGATGTCTATTGCCTGAATTGTTTTTTAATATCGCCACCATGTGTGACTGTCCCATAGCTGGAGTTGTTACGTCTCATGATGCTTATAGGAGTTGGATTATTTTCAAAGAGTGTAAGACTGAGAACGGTGAGTTATTGAATGTGTATTAGACATTTCTATTTTCCAACAATTTTTAGAATTAAAAATTGCCAACGTTCAACGTATCAGTAGAATATTATGTTAGTGATTTTCTGTCAAATTGAGTGGTTAGTTTTCTGAGAAAATGCTCGCACCCGTCGATTTTCATTTTTTGACCTGGTTTCTTTAGTGGGTTAATAATATGTATATATGGTAACTCCAAAAGAAGCTACAACCGTCTACTTGGTTTTTTCAAATGGAAATACTTACCTACTTTGTATTACATTTCTGAATTTTGCACAGATATGTTTCAAGTACCATGTCCTTTTCTAAACTAAACAGTTATTAAAAATATACGATTGGACATATCAATAAGTAAATATCTGATTAGTAAAAAAACAGAACAAGCCGAATCAAATGTTCAAAATGTTTGCCAATCACGGCTTGACAATATAGGTACAAGGCGATCAACGAAACCTTTTTGCACAATTTCAACCATTTCCCTAGTAATGGCATGAACTTTTCTTCAGATCTCCCCTAGTCCCCTTTCAATAACTTCTCCTCTGCTTAGTAATATTCTTAGTTTAAGTCCTGTCACTCAATTAATTTTTGCTCCATGTCCAACTGTCAAACTCTTTGTCCACCTTTCAAATTCCTTTTATTTCCGTGTCGTACTGATATGGTTGTTTTCGGTACAGTAGTAAAATAAAAGTATAGCCCACCAACGTCTTCTGGTTCTATTAATGGTATCAAAACCTCTAAGACCAATATTTTTGTCATGTGATAGTTTTTTCGAAATTCAAGGATGGATTTGTTGAATCCCTCAAAATTCTATTGTTTGATGCTATCCTTCTAGTGAAATAGATAATTTTTTGTTTTCACAAATAATTAAGTAGGTATTTAATACTTCCTTGTCGTAGAATTACTTCTTTTGCAATATCTAGCATTAACAGATGAACAACATTTCCTTGAAATAGTGCCACATTTTTTTTATTAAAAACCGTAGCCACTCCACAAATTACCAGAAAAAGCTGGTGGATATCTGCCACTACAAAAAGTGGAAGAAAACATGACGAGTTGTTAATTCATCATCCACCTATGCCTTAGAGTGACCCTTAGAGAATCAGATAATCTGTAAGTGGTTCGAATGAAATAACCACTGTCCTTCATATTAGACACCCGAATGACAGTTGTTGAAATAACAATAATGAATTAGTGAAGAGCCAGTTTTATTTGCCTCTTCGCTAAATTCAAATATATCCACATGTGCCCGACTCTGACAAACCCGTCGATGAATTTCTCTGCTTATCACCATGATTTTTTTATAATAATGGTATTGTGGCAAATGTGACTTATTGTATTTGCCATTTGGGATTTGCTGAAGGTTAATACTCAATAAAAGGGCTGCAGATTGAACAACAAGAACACATATGGGTTTAATAATGATAAAATACAATTTTGATATTGCTTGAAGAGGCATTAGGTTGACGAGTGAATAAATAATATAAATGGTACTGACAATAATCTGACAAAACTTGGAGATGTCCCAATTAGGACATCCCCGTCGCCATTAGCAACCGTCCGCTATTCGGACCGAAAGTCAAGTCCCTCGTGGTACGAGGATTATGTTCGATCACCTCTACGTTTATTTTATTGAAAATGTTTTATCACGAACGATGACTGTTGAATTTTTGAGAAATATAATAAACATGATGAATTGGAACAGTGAGATAATAATAATAGTAGTAGTACCAATATTTGAGAATAATTTAGAAAACATCTATTCTTGATAGTATATTGTGCCTCATATATAGTTTGATATGTTTTGTATTGCCATTTTATCATTGGAATTCAACAAGGATATTATTGTTACTTGTTTTATAATTTATAATAGTGATAAAGACACTGATTACTTGGATTGCACAGATTTTATAAGTATATCGACGCCAAAGGATGCTTGCTGAAGTCATTTACTTCACCTCCCACGAAAGTTAATATTTTTTTCTCCCCGTGGGAGTAAATTGCCAACTTTGTTTGTGAGTAGATTTAATAATTTATTTATGAAACTGACAAACCAAATTTATGAAAGAACGAAAACTAAGAACTAGGTACAGTATGACTTATAGGCAAGTTATTTTCATTTTTGCATCCTACATATTTTTAATTTGTGGTAGAGTACTTGGAACACATACAGTGTGATCAGAATTCTGAATCTTGAACCACCCTGTATCTGTTCCGATTAAAGGTCAGTGGATAGTGAACCAAAAGTTTGGATAAGGATATGTTAGCTGTTTTGACCAAAAATGAATGAATTCGGCTCAAAAAAATCTTGAAATTGAAAACCCTATATTTCCGTAATCATTTCTGCTGGACCCCAAGTGTGATGAACTAATGGATTCAGCTCTTTCGAGAAAATCTAAAAATGCAATTCTATACAGGATATTCCATTTAAAAAAATAGCAACTTTGATACATTTCGTGTTTTTGGCACACCCAGTACAACTTGAACATATTTTTAAAATGTAGCGCTGCTAGGTCCCTATGCATCCGAAAGAAAAAAAAAAGTAAAAAAAAACAAATGCTTTAGCCACAATGCTTTGTGTGTCGAATAACATGAATAACCCTGTATAATAGACTATAGTTTAGGTCGTCAATGCCGTATGAGTTATTTCATTGATGAGGTACCATGACGTCACTTTTACTTTTCCTTCCTAGGGAGGAAAAGTACGACATTGCTCTCTACAGTGAGGACAGAAAATGTATACTTGGATAGAGGTAGGCAGAAAAAACATGTACTGACCAGGACCAGCATAAAAAACCGGCCAGGAAAAATCTTACCATTCTTGCACCTATTATATGGTCGAATCAAATTGATATTGAACACAACCTTTTCGACTGATTAATCAACATATAAACCAATTTCTAGTAACCGTTGTTTCCACTTCTTCGGAAATAGTTTTATTCCTCATTTAGTGTCAACAATTATGATAATTCCTCAATCGAATATAGAAATAATACTCAAAAAATGTTTATTTTTATATTTAATATATCATGTTCTTCAATTTATACGTCAAATTGTATTTTATAATTGACCAAAAATAGCCATACATCAACTACCTAGTAAATTTTCCTATGTGAAGTTTGGCTAGGTTGAATTTGTAAAACGAAACGATAAACTCCATCAGAGTTATGAAAAATTTCACACAGATCAACAGGCGATGGAATTCACCTAGTGACAGAGAATCTGAAGTAATTGCACTGAAGACTTAATCTGAAACGTTATACGAATAAGTATGGCAGAACAGGTATATTCATGCAGGTTGTGTGGGGGGGAGGTGGAAACCTCTCCACATACTTACTGAATGAGGCACCCTACAGAACCTAATTCGAGGGTAAGAAATCTAGGAGCATACATAGTAGAGGAGGAGCTATCATCATGACTGGAATCACCCCATCTTCTGAAATTCCTGAGAAATATTGTACTAGAGAAATTGCTACGGAGAACGACCTCATCTAGTATAGCAAAAGAATGGGCACAATAAATCTCTTGAGTCGCAGTGTATTCATAGCTTATGCATACAATTCAATACAATCCAAGTATGGCATCCCTTCCAATTGAAGCAGCTACCTTTCCATGGTTGCTTCCACTTCTTTCTCAATCGGTTTGTCTTCATTTGAAGAAGTTCTCTTGAGATTCAAATGTTGTACCAAACTCGAAGTGTCACAAGGTTTCACTCTGCAGGGTGATATATAGAAGAATGCGAATAATTGTTCAGTTGATTTTCCCCACCAAACACAGTTCAAATCATTTGAAATGTAAGCGAAATTCGAAAAAAATCAAGAATTGAAATGTCTTCTACTCTTGATACCACCATCACTTCTCCTCCTCCGTTATCAGACTTGATCCTGACAGCTCAGCTGTTGGGGACAGAAGTGACTCTTTGGTGTCAGTCATTTTCGAGAACAGCAAGGATATATTTCATTTCTGCAGCTCACGACACAAGACAGAACAACAGAAACACACGAAATATTGAAAGCATTCAACCACCCTTGATCCGCTATCATTGCACATCGTAAGTATTAGCGAATAAATGTCATAAATGCACTCTCACCTTGTATATCCGACTCTTTTCAGACAATACATCAAGAGCTTGTTGAATATGATCACCAAGTAATATTCCTCACTCACCAAAGCCGTCACTTTCAACAAATCTCTGAATGTTTAAAAGAATGAAGATCTGGAGAAGATCAAATAAACATAAAGGACCTTGTGCGATTAGAATCTCTGGAGACATGATTATAGTGAAGGAAGTTCTCTACCACCATGACCCCAAGAAATATTTCACCTACACCAAGATTACTGCAAAACCCACAAAATAAAGCACGGAGATAAAATTGAACACCAGAGATTCATTTATCGTTACCATCATAAACAGTGCTAAGTTTTTGATCGCCGAAATCGAATGGCTCGGATAGTGTACCCCAATTGCAGTATACGGAATAACTTCAACGTCCTTCTTTTGTTGAACAACGTCACTTTGCAACTTTCAGTCTCTGAATACCTTCTCATCCGAAAGTTATAGTGTGATAACTCTCGCTCAAGAGGATCGTACAGTTTTTTTCCTCCATGAAGGAGGAAGAAGATGTGAGACATTTTACAAACTGAAGGCCAGAGCTCCTATAGCTGAATCGAATTTGTGTAAACTGTTAATTTGGCAACTGCTGATTCTGAAACTTCCATGATCGCGGAAACATTAACTTTGAGATGACTTTGAGTATTAAACAAATGAAAGTAACATTTTTTTTCACTCGTTTGATTGATGAATTCAGAGTGTATTATCATCAGATTTCGTGTTAATTTTATGAGAAGTCGATTTTAAAAATAGATATCAACATAATTTCGACTCTTTCAAAAATGCAAACTAAAAAAAAACTACTTGTGACTGACTCTCTTGTTGACATTATCTGGTTTTACGGCTTCCATTAGCCTGGCCTTCATAAACCATAAAT